GAACTGAGAATAAAACAACATTTAGGCAAATTGTCTTGATGAAATATGTGGTCAAAAAGGGAGATGACAACGAAGTTTATTCGGTACTGTACACAGCAATCTAACCTTGTATTCTGATATGACGTCCATACGGTTTGACCGCAATTTAGACTTTAATACTAACTCGGGATATCAAAGAAATGCGGAGTAGATGAAACGACACGTGATTAGTGACGTTATTTCAGGGGTGCCTGTTACTTGTGTATATGATATATATGCATTTTTGTGAGGAGTGACACCCCTTTGTTCTATAACTATAAAATACCATCGAAACCCATCATATTTATTCTGCTATTCTGGCTGAGCCGTAGAGAATCAGAAGTGTGAAGTAAGTAATGTTTTATTGTCGTAATTCTTTAATTACCTGTGCATGTACTGGGCATACAGGATGTTGTTACTCTTCTATGTTAGGTCGTGTACAAATGATCACGTTTCTATTTCTTTAACAACATAGTTGATATAATACGGTAAATGAACACGGAGCACTGTTTAGTTAGCAATGGATAGTTTCGGGATACATATAGTTACCACAACAACTGACATCAATACTATTAATTCTTGTCAAACGTGTGTTCAATCACCAGGTATTTGGAAAACATATTGACGTCGAAATGTTGTTTGCACTGACTCTTCTTGTATTGGTTGGCATGTCATATGCTGAATATTGTAAGTTGAATATTTTATATTGAGGTCCATTTCATGTACTATTTGAATAAGTGTGGACATATGTTTATGACACGTGTTTTGTGAAGTGTGTCAGTTATTTTGGTGTGTTTGTAATTACGTGTAGAAGATTAGAAACTTTGATAATTATTCGGTGTAATGTTATTGTTGATTTTTGTATAAATACATAATATAAAAAAAGCTATCTGAAGCAGTTTTAAAGAAGAATCTCTGAAATTTGTTAATATTTTTAAATACGCAATAACATTGTCAATATATATTTTATTTACATTCCTTTAGACACGTCCCACCAATGCACGTGTTATGAATACCAAGCCTACTGTAAAAATCCTGACACCGACACAGGTATGAATTGGAATGATGCAAATGAATATTGTTTGGGACTTCCCGGTGGTGTAGGACTCGCAACCATGGACACAGAGACAACCTATAAAGACGTCAAGAATT